CATGAGTTCTGCGCCTCGTACGTCAATCACACTCTCTCTCTCTCTCCCTGCCCCCCCGCCCCCTCATCTCTTACTCCCGCCCTCTCTCTATTCTCACTTGCGTAGTAGTCGTTCCGTTGGAGGATCGGTTCCAGCAACCCAGCCAGTTTGTTGAACACCGGTTCCTCCATGCGATACATCCTCCGGAAGAGCTTCCGCTTCTTGAGGTCAGCAGCGTGATCCTCCCAAACCAGGCGCCGTGGCTCGTGGATAGCCGCACGCGTCTTGTTAGCGCTAGCGTGCACAGCTACAGAGGTGACCACTGCCGCCGCGCTCAGCACCAGAATCACCGCAGCAGCAGCTGCTTTCATCTGCCGCACCAGCTCTTGGCGACCGGATGCACGCCTGAATCGTTGGCTCGGTGGGCCAGCACACGACGAACCAAGAGGCGCGCCGCGTTTCCTGCGGTCCGCCATGGCCCTGCCGCTATCCAAGTACCCTCCGCCGCTGCTTCTCCCTTGTAGTTGGCCCTGTAGGTCCTTTAGCTGCTGGGTGTGTTGTGATGCTCCAATATATTTGGAAAATTTGGAAGCTACTGAGTACAAATTTTGGCGCCCAGGTTCGTTCCAAATTTTTTTAATATATTTGGACAAACGCCTCTGTACAAGTTCCAAAATTTCGGAAAATTTGTACTTTGGAACAAAAATTTGGAATGTATAAAACGGCCCTTACCCCGGTTCTTGCCTTGTTACCCATAGAGTTGTCTTCTTGTCCCGGAGCGGTGTGGCCCTCCATCTCTGGACTCTCTCTTTTCCTCTCTCTGGGGCATACCTCCGGTCGCCCCGGTGGTCTAGTGGTATCCTCGTAATCCGCTAATCGCAGAAGCCGTGAGTTCGGATTCTCATGGGGTGAAACATTTACGAAATGTGCGGGTGAAAGCGAAATAGACTATAGCTGACAAGCTCTAGTGAGTACCAACATCGACGTAGCACCGTTGAGGAGGGAAAGGGACGGCTGGACCCTTCTCACGATAAAAATAAAATTCAGCACGCAGCGCAGGAGGGAGGTGTCGGATGAAAATAAATAATAAGAAGAAAAAAGCCTTTATTTACCCCCTCCTGTGTGACCCTGGATGGTTGTAGTTGTAAGAAAAAATACACTGAAAAGTGTAGTAAACTAGACTAATCTGCTTACGCTGAAAAGTGTAGTACACGTACGTCTCATCACGAAAAATGGTGGGACTGTCGCCATAATAAATAGGACGAAACCACACATACCCCCACTGCGTGCGGTCATTCCGCCACCCTCACCGTGCTCTCTGCCTCTGCATAGCCCCGGTGTCCAAGCCGGAGCGTCAGGATCCAGTCTCATTTTGCAGCTGCCAAAGCTGGCGGCACACGAGCTACCCCGATCTCACGACAGCAGTAACTCCCAACCGCCAAACTCAGGATGCCCGTCTCAACAGTGCTAGGGACCGAATATCCGTCTTTGCTGGGTGGTCTTTCGAGGTCTAGATCCACTTGCGGAACCTCGGCCTACCCCAGGGACGGGGGGGGCAGGCCATGACATGTAGACTGTAACTACTGGCACATTGCGAATTGGACATTTGAAGCCTTGGTGACAACACTTCACGTCCTCTTCTTACGCACCATTCGTCACACTACGGGCAGCTCTACAAGAGGCGCGTGCTAGCATTTCTTGATAGCAGAGTGACTGCATGCGGTGCGGCATGACATGGACGGTGATGATGATCAATGATGATGCTAATCTATCTTCGACTCTTTTTTTCGAGGTGGATTCGTTGGGTCATGTTTTAGGAGAAAATTACAATGGGATTTTTTTTTTTTTTTCTCCCATCATTGGACTCTGTCGTCTGCCCCTCTGGCCCCTATCCTCCACTTCTACTAGCTAGACGACCCAACCGGGGTCACAAAGGAGGGGGGGGTTGGACCCCCTCCTGCGGTTCATGCCTGAGGTATTTTTATCGCGAGAAGGGTACAGCAATCCCTTCCCTCGCGACTTACGAAGTCGATTATTTGGTTTACTAACAAACGAGCTTTGCAGCGCGTCGCTTTCATCCTACATGTAGACCAGGATTTATTTAGTGAGAAAAAAACTCTCTCTGCCGGGACTCGAACCCATGACCTGGCCCTTAGCAGGCCGCGAGGCTACCCACTAGACCACCGGGGCGATGATTGTGCGCGCGGGACTGTCATCCGTCTTCATCAACGGAGCCGTACGCTGCGTATCTTAGCCGCCGCGCCCCGGCCGTAGAAGCGGGAGAAGGGAGATAGACACGAAACACAAGGGACACGACCACACGCGCCACCCGCCACGTACCACGCACCACGCACCGTAAGTGCCGTGTCATGTCGATATTTAGCACTGGGTGCCACAGCTTGCCTTCCCGCCGACGGGAATCGATGTTTTGATGCGGTTCGGATTGGCGGGAAGAGCATGTGGAGGTCCACCCCAACAAGCAAAACTGCTTTGACCCAGCCGGCCGCTAGAGGGTAAAGTGGACCTCAACAGGACAGCAGGTCAAGCGACATACTCGGGAGTAATCGGGCGCAACCTTTCCTCGGCATCGCAATCTCAGGTGTAAACTGCCTCGTATAGGTGAAGGCGCATCCCACCCGCACGCACGAAATTCAGCAGCAGCCTACTGTGTGCATGTAGTCTAATACGGTGGCACATAATTAATAGGAGCAATTGAAAAGATAATGCGTTTCGGAGTGTAACTTTGGCAATACGATTCGCAGCACAGCAGACGATAGCGCAAATTGACTACAGGGAAAAGGCGGTCACGATGAAAAAAAAACATAAAAAAAAAAAAATCAAATTGCTTGAGTTATTGCTTGTCGTGTACCTGAGCAGAGATTCAAAATCGGAAAAAATGCCCAGCAACATGCGGCCAACATTGGTATCCCCACTTCTCGGCCTGCAACTCAACATTTTTAAGCGCCTGTCGGCATACAGTAGCGCAAAACGCTTCCATGACGAAGGCGGTCAATACGCAAGAAGATAGAACATGAATGCAGTTGACGTGTGGCAAGCTGCATCCGGGGTAAGACTTGTCGACAATTGAATATTTTTGATTTTTTTTTTCAACAACTGCAGCAGCTGGAAGCAGGGACGCAACCCCCCGCGCACAGCAAACACACATGTGTGCTGTTGGAACATGGTACACCCAGTGCATGGGTGTAGCAATTGATCACAAGGCTGAAAAAAATCTCATCATGGTTCAACCTCGTCGCTGCCATCACCCCATTCTGCGCTTTCCTGCTGGATCTGCTCCCCTACCCCTTCCTCGACATCACCCACGGGCGACACATCATCTGTATCGTACCCGTCCGGCTTTTCGAGGCTGCCTATCGTACCAGAAAGCACTCCATCACGGTCCTTGACCCACTTATTCATATCTCCAATGGCGTGGTCAACCAGCTTCGAACAATCGGCTGCCTTCCACCCCCCCTCCTGGCCTGGCCATTCCTTGTCCCCGTACCAACCTTTACGAATCTGCACCCACACCTCCCGCATCTTTCGCTTCAACTCAAAGTTAAGGCTGACGTACTGCTTACCATGCTGCCAAAAAAGCTCGATCGGTTGAAAGGACGGCATGTAGGGCGGCGTCCAAATCAACGCCCACCCCTTTTTCCTCATGAACGTCACCACCCGTTCCTCGAGCCTTTCAGGGTGATTGAGGTGGATGTACTCCCGAGTGGCCGTTGCTACCTCCGCTCTGCTTACACCGCCCTCCCTGTTCCCTGCAGGGAATGAAGAACCAGGCTCTGTCGGTACCTCGAAGTTGTACTCAACAACGCCCTGTTCGCCCTCCTTACGCCTAACCCTCATCGACTTGGCCCCAAACATACGCAACAGATCGACGTTGTGCTTCTTGGTGTTGGTTTCCGGCGCTTTGACTTCCGCCTCAAATCCATGGTGGTATGAGGCGTTGTCAAGAACAAGAATCATCCGTTTGCCTTTGAACTCCGGGATCGCGTTGTACGCAGGGCTAAGGCGGTGTTCAAGCCACTCCATGAACATCGAGTCGGTCATTGCTGCGTGGTAATCGCCCTTTGCCAACTTAGCCTGCCACAGAAACTCTGCTGTCTCCTCATCTTCCATTTCCTTCTTGCCGCTACCCGTTTCCTTGAACCAGCCCTCTTCGATCGGTAACCCATCACAAAGCTTAGCCAACGGCCCCCACTTCGTGATTGCATGCACCATGATCATGCGCAAGCCCTTCCCCGTTGTGCGACCAATCCCATCCTGCACAACTCCATCCTCGTCCGAAGGAAAAAAAAAATAGGGGGAACCATGAGCCTGGTGGACAAAACTCTCATCCATGTACACGATCACTGCTAACCCAGCATCCTCTGCCCTCTTTGCCATGACCATCTCAACAAGAAACCGACGAATGCGAGCAAGTCTTTCGGCGTTTAACGGTGGCGTTTTGATCCTGCCTCTACGACGCTTGTAGCCGAGCCTACTCAGCAGCCCTCCTGCCGAACGGTTGGACGGCTGCTCCATGTTGCAAGTCCTGTGCATCCATTCTGCCACCGTGCGGCGAAAGACTTGACGACCGGCCTTGTGCTCGTCATTGATGAACTCGCGAAGTTGATCTTCTTGTACTTCGGTGAGGCGGCGTCGCCCATCATCCTTCTTTGCCGTCTTGCCTCTCCCCACGGCGGTGGTCTCGTACAACTGGCGGTGATCCCACCAGTGGTTGTTGATGCGTCTGACCTTGTCGTGGCCGATCTTGAAAGTGCGCGCAACCTGCCAGCATAGGGAGGTCCAGAGAAGAGAAAATATTGCAACATCGTTTATGAATAAGGTCGGTTCACTTGGGCATTGCACAGAGAGACATCGCACATGCAAGCCTACTCAGGTGCTGTAAAGTACTGCTGTGAAGAACTGCAGTACAACAGTACAATGTATTCCTGCTGAATATTTGTGTGACGTAGACAGGTGAGTCAACCGTGTAACGAACGGCAAAGGCTCGCGCCCGACATAAATGCAACGAAAACACACACACCACACATGAACATACTGCTGTTGGCAGCAAAAATAGGGTGTACAGCACATATTCCGGAGTATAGATTCAAAAACCAACCGTTACCCCTCTTTGATCAAGATGAATATTTACAAAAGACATCGGCCTGCTGCTGTGCCACATCATCCGACCTTCACTGCTGTGTACTGACCTGCAACACCGCCTCGTTCTCAGAGCAACCTTCCTTGCGGAGGTCGAAGAGTAGCATGAGGACCATCCTTGACTGCAACTGGGTCCAGACCTCGCCCTTCTTCGGCTTCACTTCGTGCACAGATGTGTCCATGTAGTCCAGGCCCTGAGCAACCTTCTTCGCCGCAGCAGCAGCAGCTGCTGCTTGGACGCGCTCAACCTCCTGCTGCTCACGCTTTTCCCGCTGTGCAGCGGCGCGCGCCATTTCTTGCTCCTTCTAGGCGAACGCAGCCTCCTTCGCTCTGAGCGCTTGCTCCCTCTGCGCCATCTCTGCTCTGTCCGCCGCGAGCGCTGCACGTTGCTGCTCGAGCTCAGCTTGGGGTCTCTCCTGGGCCAACGCACCTCTCGCTGCTGCTGTCTTGGCTCTCTTGTCCGACTTGGAAGGGCGTCCGACTACACCACCAGTTGGCTGCCTCCTGCCCTTCGGCTTCGCCATCGGCCGATAGCTGAGAGGCCCCTCTTTGAGCGTGCAGTACTCGACAACGGCTGCGTTGTGACCAACGCTGGTCTGATGTGCGCGTGAGCGAAATCATAGGGTTTCCAAAAAGTTCTACATGCATGGCTAATTCGCATCCGTTCTGTTTTTTTTTTCAGGCCCTTCACAAAAAAGTAGTGAAAAAGTACCCTATATTCGCCGGCAACTGCTGTACCTAATGGTTGTCTGATGAGAGCAAGACCCGGCTCATTTGAAAGCTGTGGTTTCCGTGTTTCATTTGATGTGTAGTGGGTCTGCTTACCGCGCTGTAGATTGCGTATAAAGCCTCTGGGCAGTAGTCCTTGTTTCCAGCTGCCCAAGAATATTTTTTAACACTGCTTGAGAGAAAAAAATACTCTCGCCAAAAAAAGCAAAAAATTGCTCTCACTACAGAACCGGCCCGCACTTAAGAATATGGACGTTAAGAATTTGAGCCTCAATAAATCCAATTTTTAAGAAATTGCCCGTAAGAACACGTGCTCAGATCGGACCTGCTGTTAAGCATAAGAACGTCCAGTGAGGTGTACGACTGGTGCTACAGATGCGAACATACTACATGACGCGGCGGTGGCGAGAGAAGAACATACACATATGGAGGAGGAGGGGGGGGGGGGGCGTTCCCAGGTTTGGTAGTTGGTACCTACCTAGACTATCCCTTTTTAGATTTTTTTTTGAGGTGGGGGTCTGCTGTACATACACGTCGTGCCCCTGTGCCAGCGATTTTTTTTTATTTACCACGCAACGTGGTGCAGCGTGCCACGAGTCGCCTGCCGTGCAGGGGGATCATGTCCCTGTCGAACCCCTTATCCCATGGGTTGTTGAAGGACCTTGGCAAACTCTCGGAGGTGAAACAACGAGGACTGATTCTTGACCGTCACTTCGAGACGATAAAGGCACATGTGAAGGCGGGCAACTCCGTTGCGAAGGAGCGATGGGACGCAATCGAGAACGCATGGGGGCTGAAGCAGACGGGTGTCTTCAACGAAGAAGAGTGGATCACGCAGAGTGATGGAGAGGCCCAGGGTATTACCAGCAGCACCCGTCCGTCGTTTTTAACGCCACAAGATGCGGGCGGCGCGCGAGGTGCACCGTCTTCGCACCCACCGCCTGCTACTGCTGCGGCTGCCGGGAAGAGAAAGGTCGCAGATCGGGGGAAGCAAGCCAGGGATCGAGCTGCCCAAGGTGTTCTAGGTGGCAACATCATCAACGCGTTCGCTCGTGGCAGCGGAAAACCGGTGAGTTCAGTCATCTGACGAACTCTGTTGCTGTGATGATGTACATATATACAGCAGTCGTACGGCGGTCCAGCAGCTGTATGTAGTGTAAATACAGCAGGAGTGCTACTGCTGCTGCTGTTGTTTAAAAAAAAACGCGGTGGTGATGAAATGAAAAAGACGAGAGAAAAACTACTCTGTCACAGGTTGGTGTAAACGACTGACTTTCAGCATGGCGTACATGTATGTGTACAACTTTTTCAAACATTCTCCGTTTGCCTCAAGTTCTTGAGGAAGGCAAGGACGGTACAGTAGACACAATGGCGAAAAAGAACGCGTACACGAGCGCCGTCCCAACCGTATTTTGTAATTTTTTTTTTGCTGCACCGTGATACAAACACACGAGAGACGGTCATGTAATCATCCCTTGCCCCATCTGCATAGATAGATATATTTTGCCATCGACATCCACGCAATTTCAGGTCCACAGCTCGTTGAATCACCTGCACCTCAATTCCGCCCTTCTCCTACCGCGCCGTGCAGATTGAGCGGACTCGCGGTGGTGTCACAGAGCATGTGTCCGGTATCAACTTCCCACCTCCGGCCCCGGAGCGGCGCATACCGTGCCCTCACTGTCCCATGACCTTCGTGAACGAGCAAGGACTTGGGATCCACGTGAAAACACAGCACAGCAATGCAAACATGTCCAACGGCTTGCGGCTGCAGCGGCTAGGGAAGACTCCCAAAGGGTATGTTCAGCCGTGGGGAGAAGCCGGGCCTGGACGTTGTTGGCACGTGAAGGTCGATGGTGCGACGGGGGCGGCTTCGTTCGTCCTCCAACGGAAGCGCTTCCGCGATCTCGACTTGGAAAGCGACGGCTTTACGGACCGCAAAGTCAAGGAGACTCGTGGAGCTGTGAAGCGCAAGCGATACGATTTCAGGTTCAAAGCCCATGTTGTGACCCAGCTGCGCCTCCTCCAGGAAGACGCCGCAGACCTCTTCAAGGAGGAGCAGCTCACGCCTCTCCAGTACTTAGAGGACCGTCTCAAGGTTAACTACAGCCTGATCGTGAAGTGGGCTCAGGACGAGGCCAATATAGTCCAATCGGCAGCAGATGACGTGAAGAAGACCCTCCTTGCCAAACAGCAGCCAAAGCGGTGGTTTCCTGAGGAAGAGAAGAAGCTGTACAATATGTTCTTGGCGCGGCGGAGGAGGAAGCTGAAGGTGTCGACCCTGTGGCTGACGGTCACGTTCCGGAAGCTCGTGCAAGAGAATCACCCTGAGGACCAACGGGCGGCGGCGTTCAGCGCGTCCTTCAGGTGGGCACGAAAATGGGCAAAGAGGCATAAGCTGTCCAAACGGCGCAGGAGCAACCTCAAGAACAAGTCTGTTGAAGAGCGCCTACCAAAGATCCAGCGCTTCCACCGGCGGTTTCGCAAGCTCCTGCAAGAGCCGGTACGGTACAGGGCACCCGAGGCATCGGACGTGTCGGCGATGTCGACGGTCGCGGAGGGAGAGTCCAGAGATCCCAAGTACGGTCAGTTCCAGCTCTGGGAGCGTTGGAATGTGGATCAAGTGCCTTTGCCATTCGTGAACGGGCTGATCAGCACGTGGGAGAAGACAGGCGCGTTGCGTGTAGCCATCTCGCAGCCCTTTGCTGGCCTAGAGAAAAGGCAGTGCACCATGCAAGTCATCTTTGGTCCGGGTGAGAAGACTATGCGGATTTCGGTGATTTTCCGAGGCCAGGGGAAGCGGATTTCGCCGGTGGAGAAAGCCGCGTACCACAAGGACGTGGACGTGTTTTTCCAGGAGAATGCGTGGGCGGACCAAAAGTTCTGCATGGAGTGGGCCAAGAGGTCGTACCGCGAAGGCCTGATCCGCGGGCGGGGTGAGCTCCCCAAGGCGAGGTCCATTCTGATAATGGACAACTTGCACGCGCAGACCACGGACGAGTTCAAGGGGTATCTTGCGAAGCAGTGCAACACTATCGCCTGGCTTGGCCCTGCGGAGTGCACGGACGAGGTGCAGCCAGTTGATGCAGGAGCCGGACGATTTCTCAAGGTGGAAGTTGGTAACGAGATGGACAAGTGGCTCGATCAGTCGGACAACATCGAGAGGTGGGAAACCGCGTCGCTGACAGCATCTGACCGGCGCGTACTGATCACTCAATGGACGGGAGCGGCCATGGCAAAACTCAACAGCAATCAGGGGTACCGACACCGCCTTTTCGAAAAGTGCGGGATGGCGATGACCGTGGACGGCTCAGGCGATGATCGAATCACCTTGGAGGGTTTGGACCAGCCGTACACCTTCGCAAACGATGAAGACTCCAGCGAGAACGAAGGAGGTTCGGAGGACGGCAGCGATGGGCCCGAGGGGCGGGAGGAGGAGGGCGCCGGAAGGCGCGAGCCGGTCGTCGGGGATGAGCGCAACGGTGCCAACAGCGGGGAGGGCATGGAGGGCGCTGGATACAGCGATGAAGACGACGACAGTAAGTTTGATTGGCAGTACATAGACTACGGTTAGTTCATTGTCCTTTTTGTTCATCTTTTCTTGTGCTGTTAGGGATATTGCTGATATTCTGTGTCCGCGTCACGTCAACGAACAAATGGTGTATTCACTTCAGTTGAGTAACGGCGATGACACCCGTACGTTCCTTCTCGTGTTTCACGGTACCCTTCGTCGCAGACATGTCTCAATCCCAGACCGACGAGCTAGCTCTTTTGGACGAGGACGACAGCATGGACCCAGACGACCCGGAGGACGAGACGCAGGGAATGGAGATCCCGGCGGGCTTTCGCCTTCAAGAATCTACCCCCGCTGCTCTTGACAGATTGCTTTTGCAACGTGGAGTGTTTGTTCGGCTGGGCATGGGGTGGTTCGGTGGGTTGATCATTCAGCAATCTCCGCAGCGCCACCTGTACGACTACTGTGTGCAGCTGGAAGTAGACCACAGTACGCGCAATATGAAGCTGCCCTTAGACAAGTACAGCGGAGATCCGGACGCGGCGGTAGGCTCATGGGTTTTGCTTGAGAGCGTCAGTAGGGCGGAAAGGGTACGCACCTCCAACGTCACTCTTGTGGACCAAGACGGTTGACAGTTGCCCCATGGGGGGGTGTTTGCGGGTATGAAACTCTGCGTCGAGTGCAGTTGAGTAGTGCACCAATTGAGCAATCGATGATGAAATAAGAACAAGAACACCGTTTCTGGAGACAACTGGACGACGAAATAAAAACCTGTCAAATAAGAACTTGTGCTCGGCTTGGGGCAGCCAACAAGAAGCGAGCCTCGCTCCAAATAAGAGGTTCTCAAGTGCGGGCCGGTTCTGTAATTATGTGCCACCGTAAGAGTCTAGAAGACAACCCGCATGGCAGCAGAACAGCAGTTAGTCTCTGTTGGTGCGTGCAGCATACGTCACGCTCGCATGCTTGCACGCCCAAAAAACAAAGCATGAAAAAAGAAAGTAAAAGAAGAAGCGAGAACAAGAGAGCCAGGCGCGACAGGGCTAAGAGAGCATAGAAAAACCACCGTCGTCGCCGCTGGCTCCTAACCGCTGGAAGCTCTCACGTAGCACTGCATATACATGCAGCAAACATTAGGTAGGGCCCAAGTCCATTGCTTGACATAATGAGGCAGCGTCCATCGCTTCACATGCAGCAGCCGGGTGCATGGGTAGCCTCTTACTCAGCAAGAAGCAAAACGACTGCGGTTTGACGTTCGATGTTGTTGGGACCCAACCGGCGAA